CCTTTCCAACTCCAACAATTCTGTGATTCTGCAGTTTGCCCCCCTTAAGGTTTGAAATGTGATTTACGGCTTTCGGTCCTTCCGAGCCCTGTAGGGTTATCACACCGATCTCCACACCCTCTTCCCCGGTGCTCTTCAGCAGCTGCACCACCTCAGCGTGCTTGGACCACTTGCAGTCCTTGCCGTTTACCGAGATGATGTAGTCTCCCTCCTTCAGCCCGGCTGCCTGCAGGGGAGGAGAGAAGATGCACATGTTTGAGCTCATGGATGTCACTGCACGAGGTTTGCCCCGCTCCGTAGGTCCCAATTCTGTGGAGATTCAGGCCACAGGGAGGGTTGGGGTCCACCTACAGCACAAGACAGCAGATGCTTTCATGATCCTAAAGATTTTACATCTGCTCTACAGACTAGGGATCTCTCTTTCAGCTGCTGGGGGCGGCCACTCTTGACATCCAGCGTGTTACAAACTCCCTGCAGCCTTGCCAAAACCGCATCCAGCTCCGACTCGTCAGTAAACAATTAAATGCTGCAGGTCTCCAGAAAAAAAAATCAAATCAAATAAATATATTGCCTGCAAGCCTCAATCCTTGAGAAAACAGAGAAGGCTCAGCAAGATTCTCTGCATGTCCTTCACCCATCAAGGCATCAAAGAGGCTCTGACATGCTTGAAGGAAAGCATGTGCCAGCTCAGGGCTGTGGAGACACAGTTGTGGTCCAGCTGTGGACTGTATATGGTCTTCGGGGAGATCTTAGTCTCCCGAAAAGGGATGTGATCCTGCTGCAAAGGAGCACGTTCTTACAGGGCTCTGAATGGCAGGGTTGATGCTGAACAGTGCTGAGGAAGCAGGGAGACCTTTCTGGACACCTCACCAGGATGCTCCAGCAAGATTCTGCTGGAAAACCAAGTCACTCCTGCTGCATCAGAAAGCCCATACAGTGAGTTTTCACTGAGATAACTCTCATGTTTGTCCCATCCACTGTTATAATCCCAAAATAGGGGAGAAGGGAGTTGGGTGCTTGCCAAAGAAAGGCTCCCAGCAGTTAAAACTTGAGCTAAACCTTTATATTTTTTCCTTAGCTTTCTCCTGGAAAAAAATAAATCTTAATTCTTTAGAGACCTTTATCTGCAAGCCCCAGGCTGAGATCTGGCAGCGATTGAGTCCCCACCTGAGCACAACGATGCAGTTACTGAGTGTTAAGACCTGAAACCACCCGGTATCCCTTGAGGCAACCCCTGATGCCTCCCTTCGGGCATCCCAACAGGGACAGCAAGAGCCTGGGGTACTCACGGCAGCGCAGCCCCCCGGGATGACACCAGCAATGAGGACGGGGGAGTCTCCTCGCAGCGTGAAGCCAAACCCATTCTCTCCTCTCATCAGGTGGACTCTCCGCACTGGGTACCACTTGTTTTTGGCCGAGAACACGGAAAGGGGACCCTGGAGTAAAGCAGAAGCAGAAAAAGCACTTTTTGGTGCAAGAACAACTCCCTGCGGACATGCAGTCTTGGAGAATACCCACTGATAGGGAGGAGGCACAGCAAGAAATCCTGTCTTTTGCACTTCTTTAAGGACGTGATTTTGAGCCTGCTGGGTGATTTACTGGGTCTTCATATCCAAAAATGCAGATTTATGCACTATAAAGCTAAAGATGCTTAAAAGCCTGTGTGAGGCGCTGGTTTTATGAGCAGCAGCAGCAGTCTCATGCAGGCTGGGAGCAACCTCAGGAGTTCTCTTGTCCAACCTTCTGCCCAGAGCTTTGCAAAGCAGGAGTAGAAGGTCCTGGCACACTTAGCGAGCTGGCAACTGTTTAGACACTATAATTCCAGAGCAAACAAAAGAGAAAGCTCTTGTGGGCAGAGCTGGCTCTTTAATTCCTCACCTCAAGGGAAAAAGAAACATCACTCAAGGAGGGAGGATGGGGATTGAGGTTTTTCACCCCCGTCTAGCCCTGGGAGATGCAGCCCAGCTGGGGTGGTCCAGCAGGAGGGTGCAAGGCAGAGGTGGGACAGATTCAGGGTCAGATTCTCCCCAAATCTTTCCTATTTTCCTGTCTTCTTCCTACTTTCCTATTCCCACAGGATAAAGTTGCCTGCCATAGGGCTGTTCAAAAGCAGAGATGCCTGACTTCTCCCTGGGGTGCTATGTAGCCCTTGGGGGACAGGGACAGCACAGTCAGGTCCCACAGCAGCCCTGAAGCTCAGCCCTGCCAGGTTTAAAAGGGAAGGGATAAAGGTCAGGTGGGATTTACCTCGTGTGTCCCACTTGGCACCATCCTGCACCCCGAAAGCTTCCTCTAAAGGGTCCTTCTCAGGTAAAGCCCACCCAAAATACCAATGTCCGCTCCTCTCCCCGCGCACCGGGGGAGCTCCGCGACCCATTTAGGTCTTGTGGAGACAGATCTGTGCCCTCCCAGTCTTCCTCCTTCACAGGTCCCTGCCTTTGAGGAGGAAGCTCATCCTCCTTGGAAAACCGCACACGAGCGCGGAGGTTGCACCGGGAGAGGGAGAAGAGGTTGCGGGGAGGAAGGAAACCAGGCAGCAAGAGCATGCAGGGGAGGAGGAGGAGATGTCTGCTCCCTCGAGGCAACCTCCACCCCATAGCTGTACGTACCAGCCTGTGGAAGAGGTCGGTCACCTTCACCTGGGAGAAGCTGGGGGATTTTATCTCCGGTTTCTGGTGTGTTTTGGCTAGCGGTAGGGAGAGAAAAGCAACAGACACGGGTCAGATAGTTGCAGCAGTTGCTGTGGCTACATTGTGCTCCCTGAGGAGGGATGGTGTGACCCAAGAGAGTCAGGATCTGCTCAAGCAGCTGCCAGACATGCAAGCCAAAGCCCCCGCTCCCACCGGGGATGCTCTGCCACCGTGCGGGGAGCTCTGGTCCGCAGCGACACGCCAAGAACCCGCCGTGGAGTCTGCGCACCCCATGCAACCCACCCCGAATCCCCTTCCCAGCTGCATCTTCCCCCTGCCCCGAAAACCACTCACGGTGAATGTCTGGGGCGTCTCCGGTTTCGAAGAAGTCCTCCTCGTGGTCGATCTCCGAGTATTTGCTCAGTGAGCGTTTGTGGGCGAAGGAGAGGACCTCCTGGAGGATATCCATCTTCCGCAGGATCTTGCACAAGCCGTGAATCCTCATGGCTTCCTCGTGCTTCATGATGGCTTTCTTCAGGTGAGCTTTGCCTGCGAGGGAGCAGAGAGAGATGGCAGAGCCGAGGGGAGCGGGGCGGCCCCGCTG